GTCCGCCAGATAGTGGAGACTGTGTACTGCGAGAAATGGAGCCGAGGCTGTGCCATATGTGACCGTGTTCAGCTGATACGTGCGGATATCTGAATCTGGGGAAGCTCGCCAAAGTACGTATTGGAATTGTCGAAAGTTATTGTCTACAAGTACTTGCCTGTACATTTTAGCCACGTCTGCGGTGATGGCGTAACGATACAAACGAAAACGCAGTAGTAGCATGTATAAATCTTGTTGGATTGTTGGGCCCACCAGTAATAGGCCGTTCAATGAGGTTTGCGATGAGGTGCGACACGAGGCGGGGGAGGATGATGTGGTATGTAGTAGTATGACTCCTTTAAGTTGGGTTGTGCTACTTCTGACATGTGGCGAAGACCTTCGTACTCTTTCATGAAGGCAATGTACTGCGGACGAATTGCGGGCGAACGTAGAAGGCGTCTCTCAAGCGCGAGGAATCGTCGGCGAGCAACATCGATAGAGTCTCCGAGACAAATGGGGTCATCTTTAAAAGGCATACTTACTATTATGCGTCCAGTGTTATCTTGACGAACAGTTTTCATGAAAACCTCTTCGCACGTGCGATGTTCCGGCTGACTCGATTTGGTTGGCGTACTGATGGCTTCTAGTTTCCATAGGCGTTGCAAGTTCTCGTCGATGGAGCTTTCATTTGACAACAGGCAAGATGATGCCGTCACATTACGCTCATTACGGAGCCTACCAGAGACCACCCAACCGAACAACGTCTTCTGGAGCGTAGGTAGGTTAGATTCCAGTCGAATTTGACCAACAGCAAGGGCGTCAAAAAATGCTTCTGTGCCTAACAACAGGTCGATGCGCCGGGGCTTGAAAAACGTTTCGTCTGCAAGTTTTGTATTAGCTGGCAAGTTCCAATCGGTCGTATCGATCTCGGTGTCTGGCTGGTACGCTATGTGCGAAGTGATTCCAAACTGTAGCGACAGTTGAAATGCTGAAGTGCGCGATTTGATAGTCGTAGTCGTACGTGCCTTTAGATTGGTCAACGATTCACCAATACTGCGGACTCCCACATTGTGTTTCTCACGACGAAGACGAAGTTTTTGCGCGAAGTCATCGGTGATGAAGTTGAGTTGCGAGCATGAATCTAGTAGGGCGCTTCCCAACTTGTATGCACCTGTAACATCCTTGACTAGCACCAACGCCGTTGCCAGAATAACTTAACCCTCTTCTGATGCTCCCATGTGCGAGTGGGTTGCTGCTGATTGCTGTGAAGACGTTTGCCAAGTCGATCGATTAGATCCAGATGGCTGGGATGCAGATACAGTTGATTGTGTTATCTGAACAGTCTGGAACAGTGCTCGATCGCAAGTGCGACAGCGGTTCTTCGAAGGGCATTGATCCATTTTATGCCCGTTGCCTAAGCAATTTATACACAGATCATGCCTCTCGATGAGGTCAAAGCGTTGATTTGTATTCATATCCTTGAATTGCGAGCAACCGACAAATTTATGGTTGGGGAGCTGGAACAAAGAACACACGTGGGATTAGTGATAGCAAATGAGGAACTTTGGTTACGAATATTTGACCGAGTTTGCTTGCCAGCTTCGGGTTTGCGTTGCGACGACGACTCAGATGAGTGCAAAAACTGGCAATGCCTTTCCAAGACTTTAGTGCATTGCGACCAAGTCGGAAGCGAGTTATAATCCAGTGACTCGTTCCATTTGTTTTTGGTTTGCTGATCACATTTGCCCATTACAATGTAGATTAACATTGCTTGTGCGATGCTCGTACTTGAGCCCAATGACTCCAAAGAACTATAAATAGCCGATGTCTTGTCTAGGCTGCGCAGTTGTTGAGCGTTTGACTTCTCAGGTGCCTGTAACGTGAAGAGTGAGGCGATGCCTTCCAAAAAAATTAAGGTCGAGTTGTCGAACCGTTCCTTAAGCCTATCCAAAGCCTTCGAATAGTTTTCATTAGTAACCTGAAATGCTTTAACAGTTTCTAGTGCAGCACCCTTTAAGCATGATAAAAGGTAGTTGAATTTTTCAATGTTCGATAGCCTTGGTTCACGGGCGATGATCTGGGTAAACGTCGTGATGAAATTCTTGTAATCCGCATAATCTCCACTAAAAGTTGGTAGAGGCAACCTTGGTAGGTGCGACGAGGGTGTAACAGATGCAGCTGGAGGCGTTTCCGAGTAGTGTACCGTAGTGTTAACATCTTCTCCAAGTTGCGCTTGGATGCTCAACTGGACTGCAACGTAGCTGTCTTCTAGGTCTGCACGGCCGTTGTCTGTGGGGTCTAAGTCTTCGATGTCAGCTTGTACGGACAAGGCTTGCTTAAAGTAAGACTCTAAGATTCCTAATCGACACTGCAATTCAGCATTAGAAAGTTTGTCGTCTGACTCCCTTACAGCTTCGACGATTGATTTGATGCGAGAAATGTTGCGCTTTATGTTCGAGCGATTACGCTTGCATTCCTCAAGAGACATGGTTGATGTACAATGTGATGTGACGAAACAATTCCTACTGGGTTACTGACTGTTTTATATGTGCTGTTGGTCAACTGTTGGCGCAAATTCCAGAAAAGCGAAGTACAAAAAATGCAAAACAGCGCAGCTTCAGCGAGAGCAGCGACTGTAGCGCTGACAGAGCAGCAGCGAAGTATACGACGGCGAGTAGTGTTAGCAGCGAAGCGGTCTACCAGTGAGAGTGATGAATGCGAGTTAGCGGCAGTATCAACGGCTCAAAGCAATAAAAAAGGCGCAACAACAATTAAATGTAGGCCTTATGTACTTTCAGTCGTACGGAATATATGGCAAAGCAGCAAAGTCAAAAACTGTATTTGGGTAAGGGTACATACATACATACATGCGTTTCTAACCGGTGAATTTTATGTTCAGAACAGCAATAGTATGACTTGCAAAATTATCGAAGGGATCCAGCCGGGAATGAAGTTGCTAATCGGTGGTGAAATGCACTAACAGCGAACGAAGTGTGTTTTGGTTAGAAAGCGAAAAATTTGACTGTTGTTATTGCTCCAACGAACGGATTGATTGCTGTTACTGATGCAGCCGTTGAATGATGGCGAATTATGATTCTTATTTGTCGTAGAATAGACACAGGCCCCACGTTGGGCGCCAAAAATGTTCGATGCAAGACGTCTTTTTCTTGCTTGCGGGAAAGTCGGATGTGGGGGTGTATATTCTCCAAACCAAACCTGAATTTTTGCCAGGCCAAACTACGCGAAATTTTCAACTCGTATATATTACTATCGAGACGATTAAAACAACGAGCTGCTTGGAGTGAGCGATAGATGTGTCATAATTTATTGGAATGCCTGCCAATTATGTACTATGTACAAGCGAAATATTAAGAATAAAGAGAATTATGAGTGCAATAATAAATGAGATTAACTACGTGTGCGTGTGTCTGTATGCATGTTTACAATGAGTGGGTGTTTAGTTGGTTAGAGTGAGTGAATTAGTTCAAAGTTATTTGAGTAACCATCAACTGCTTAAAGGGTGATCCAACAGACAGTTATGAAATTTTTACACAACCTAGAAGAAAATGTAGCGGTCATTTCAACATTGGCTTCGGCTAAAAATATTTAAATAATTGAAAAACGAATATCTTTCCTCCTATTTGATAATGAATGGTGGAAGAGGATGGTCTTCCGACTTGACAACTTGGCCACTCTCCAGCATAAGGCAACCGTCGTTAACCCATGTATTCTGCCTTCGTTGTGAAATCCAGCCCATTCTTGAAGAAAATTTTTATAAAAGAGAGCTTATCTTTCCAATAGAGAATGGGCTTCACCACATTTGCTTCTCATCTTCTATATTTGCATTTCATTTTTAAATTAAAGTTATTTATAAATACATTTACGCGTCAAACAATTATAAAATATTTGCTTTTAAAAACTTGGAAATAAGCTTTTTGCTATAAACATTTACGCATGTAAAACTAATTTATTGGAAGTTTATTCCAAAAACTCCTTAGATCAGAAAAAAACTATTAAGAGCAGTGACTATTCAATTTACAAATAGGAAGAGGCGAAAAAAGCAAAGCAATCTGGTTTTTGTTTACTTTTACCAAAGAACGTAAATATACAAGAGGAGACAACATGTTATAATTGTAGCGAGTGTGAACATCAGGAGCGTGCCTTCTCTTTTCATCCAATCACAATTACAACGTGTTGTCTCTTATAGATTTAAATTCTTTGGCGCGTATTCATAGTCCAGCAACTAAGTCGAAACTAACAAAGTTGCAACTTAAATTTAAGTACCAACTTAAAATTTACCTCTATTCATAGTCGCATTTCAGACTTCTACTAAGTAGTTTCGACTTAGTTTACGATATAGTAAAATGAGTGTGAAAATGTACCGATTTTTCTTTACGATATTTTGGAAAAATTACATTTTTATTAAATAATGTCAAGTTTGATCACCCGTTTATGTAATTTTTATTTTCATTGCATGATTATGCAAAAGAATAAGGTATCATTTTCTTGTTAATTGTGTGAAATAGCCAGAACAACCGCAGTGATGTGAAGTCGATGTTTATCGAAAGCATGCTGTGAAACATACAAATAGTAGATATCTAAATGTTATGCACAAATTTACTTTAAAAGAACTAGCGTGAAACTGACTTATTATTTGAGAATTTATCTAAATTATTCCAATTATAAATTTGTGATTTAGCTTTATTCGAATTGTAATACGCATTTAATTTCATCTTCCGAATAAAATGGATCGATCTTTGTAAATTTTAATTGGAGATTACTCAATATTATCAAAATCACCCTCTACCAACTTAATTTTTACATATTTCGTCTGTTTTCCCTTAATTTGATAAAATACTTCTTCCTTGTTACGACTTAGTTGCAGCTGCAGCCGAAACTAAATTTTAAGTTGGTACTTAGCCAGAAAAGTCGAAACTAAGGCGACTGTGAATAGCTTTAGTTGTGGCAGAGAACGTATATTTATAGAGAAGGTCCAAGAACTGTGAATGCCACATTTTTCGAGCCAACTAAACTGGCGAAGCGCATTTTAAGAGCGACAAATATTTGGAATACTTAACAGCGAAAGCAAAATACAAATCAGAAAAGAAGAATGTTAACAGAGCTAAATCTCAAAGAGAGAGACTTCGTATGTTAATTTGTGGGTGAAAATCTAAACGCACAGGTTGGTGGTTTTTGTTTTTGTAAAGTTTTGATTTCTTTTTTGAATTGGATTTTCTTCAAATTCGAAAAAATGCGAATTTCAAAGGAAAATACCAACGCCCATTTAGTTTGACGAAAACTTTCTTGCCATCGGAGTATTTTTCAAACTTTTTTTGATTTCGACCTCAAAAATGGCACCGCGACCGCGAAAATGTCGCGCCCACTCTTGCAAAAATATTAATAATGATTTCCGTTTTTTTTCTTTTCCACAGGATCCGAGAGAAGCCCGTAGATGGATGGAGAATATGGGGATCGACCCCATGAAGAAGCTGCCACCCCACAACTCCTTCGTATGCATCCACCATTTCGAACCCGAAGTAGTGGATGGAAAATGCCTGAGGAAGGGTGCCCTTCCAACGCTCAACTTGGGTAAGTTAATAATCATATAATATAAGTGCATATTAGGCAGGTTAGTTTTTTTTCTTAGGCCGGTGAATTAATTTAAAGTGGCGAAAAAATTGTTAATGTGTTTAGTGCGTTTCAAAATATAGTTTTAAAAAGTGAAGGGTGCTCCAGATGAAATACATATATATTAAATATGTATTTAAAAGTCGGTGGAGTCACGTCCTCCTTAGTGAATGCGTATGTATGTTTGTATGCACATACATACATTCTTATATGAAAACGAAACAGTGGTCAACAAAATAATGCGGCACTCTGTCCATTTTTGACTATTTTTCTTTTACAAAAGATTAATAAACTTTAAAAAAGGTAAAAGAAGCCCATTACAATTTATAATAATAATGTGGATATTTGCAGTGTCTTTAAAATTCGCGGTGATTTTTTATAATTATTTTGTTGGCGCATTTTATTCGCGTATGTATGTACATACATATATTCTTATATGAAAACAAAATAATGCGGCATTCTGACCATTTTTGACTACTTTTTAAGTTTGAAATCTCGATTTGAGCTACATATCCTTTTATAAAAAATTAAGAAACATTATATAAAGGCAAAAGACGCCAGTTACAATTTATTATTATAATGTGAATGTTTGAAGTGTCTTAAAATTCGCGTTGATTTTTTATAACTATTTTGTTGGCGCATTTTATAGCCAATTGTTGCCTATCGTTCGTGATACAGAATAAGGCTGTTAAATTATACATATGTGCTCCTAGGTGCGTAATGTAAGATTTCATACTTTGACTAAAAATTATGCAGGTAATTTTTTTTTACAGAATAATGAAGTCTTTTTTTACACATTTTTAAAAAAAAATAAATAAACCCGTAAAGGTTATGTAAATTTTTTCGATATTTTAATTATTTTTCATACCTCAACCAATATACAATTTTTGGTAGGTACTTAGACAAATATTTGGAAAATTTTTACATTGCTTGCACTTTGGGATTGCTTTGATTAAATTAAATCGAAATTGTTTTATACATTTTTTAAATATTTTCATTATTTTTCATACTATTAGGTACTTAAATTTTTTTCTTGGAATTATGTCGGAAGGTGAAGTTTGTATATAAAAACGTTTCTCAATTAGGGATTGGATGGAGACTCTCCGCATAGCTGTACCGCTTCCAACCCCAAGCGAAGCTGCTGTATCACGGGCTGTGTTCCTCAGCAAAAGCGCTTGTTTGCCTTTCCTAGGACTGGAGAACTTCGGCAGCGTTGGGCCCTGGCTTGCAAAGTACAAGCGTTAAACGCCGACCGATTATTCGTTTGCCAACGCCACTTTGAGTCGGAATTTTTAGGTAAATTTAAACTTTCAGAAGGTACGGTGCCTTCATTGTATTTAGAGCCAGACATCACTAGAAGTCGGTCGCCTAGTGTTTGTTCTGAATGGGTTTTCCCCCCGGTCACAAAAACGTATTCAAGACGCGTCGTTAAAGAAGAAAACGGCGATATAACTTTAGAAGAATTCGAAAAATTTTCACTTCTCGCGGAAAAAAGCGCGCCGCGTACGGGAAATGAAATCTGTTTGGGCTTAAACACCACTTCCGCCAGCGAACGAGTTGCTCAAGCCACTCGATATTATCAAAGTAACGAGTTAAAATTAAACAAGCGTATTAAAGAGCTTGAGAAAGAGAATGAGGATTTGAAAAATCAATGGCGGAACTTGCATAAGCATGCAATAATAGCAGATAAATGTGCTAGCAGTGATGCTATCACATTTGCTAAAATGATCGTCAGTGCTAAAAATTTACGCTATAGCGAGGGGGAAAGAGCATTGGCACAAAATATTAACTATTTGTCAAATAAGTCTTACACTTTATGCATGACGATCTTGGTTTTAATTTACCAAATAAAACATCTCTATTGCGTTGGCGCCCCATACGGTATGTTGTACCTGGTTTCGATGCCAATGTCATTGAAAATTTAAAAAAAGTCGTCCAGAAAATGCTCGCTTCCGAGCGCATATGCGTACTATTGTTTGATGAAATATCTATAAAATCAGATCTTCAGTATAACAAATCCAGAGACTTAATCGATGGATTTGTAGACCTTGGGGAAGGTCAACGCAAATCAGGGGTAGAGAACAAGCGCTGTTTTTTCATGGTTAAAGGGCTATGCTCAAAATGGAAGTATGTTTTTTCTTACTATATAACCAAAAATGGCCTTCTTGGCGCAGAACTACATTCCATTTTGAGACGCACTTTAACCGAACTTCAAAAAATTGGACTTAACGTCAAGGGGTTGGTTTGTAACCAAGGTCCGGCCAACCCGAGTCTTTTTAATATTTTAAAAGTTTCTGTAAGTAAAACTTACTTTGTTCATGAAGACTCGAAA